CACTTGTCTGGTAAATTTCCCCTTTTTCCTCTGTCTAATCCTCTGCTTCCTCTCAGCTAAAGAAAATACTATTTTTAATTTCAATTTTGATAATTAGTGATTAAGAAAAGTATTAGTCTTCTAATCCTTTATTTGTGTGTGTGGGTAAATTAGTTTGAAAATTATTGAAAAGTCTGCAACTTTGGATCTGGGTCTAGTTGGTATAATGTTGGTATGAAATTCGAAACTTTATTATTCTTTCTAATTTTTCTCTGACCACCTTTTGGATTTAATCAAACTTTGATTATCATCATGAAGAGAGAGAAAAGAGTTGGCCACTTTATCACTCAATCTTGGCCTACTTTATTTATTTATTTTTCACCTCATTGTAAAACCAATTTGTAACCACAAACTCAAAAACCCAAATCCCTAGATGACCAAACGGTAACATTCAATCTTGGTGGATTGTGTTTGACTAGTAGAATTTATTGGATAATTTGATATGGAGACTTATCTTGTTCTTTTGTTCCTTGAAAAAGATTAACTATTGATTAAGAAAAAAATAGTGCTAATTTTGTATGTGTGTGGTGATTTAACTAATTTCGTAGTCGATAAGGATGTGTTTAAACAAAAAAAAGATAATATTATTATCAATTTAACTATGAAACACTAGCAGGCCGATGTTTTACAAAATCCGAAAAATCTAAAAAAAGTTTATAAAATTCGACTAAGTTACATTTGTGGTTAGGTTTACTACTGTTAAAATTGCAAAATAGAAAAACTTTTTTTTTTATTATATCATCAAAGTAATCTACTGTAAAAGATATTAACTAAACTAAATTTTGAATCGGATAAGCCACATGAGTTGTCTGAAAAAACATTAAGCTATAGTTTTTTTGTACATTTATAAATAAGATCGTCATAATTGCATCCTTAATTGTTCAAGAGCAAAAAATGCAGAAGCAAATCTCAAAGAAGAACTATGCCACAATTATCCTTTCTTAAGAATATATACGTTTCTTGTCCCCGCCAAAAAAAGTATATATATCATTAAATTATACAAAATAATTCGGACAGCGAAATATTAGGTTTAGTGGAGAAATTCTGATTTGTTTATCTGATTTCAATATACATATATCATAATTACGACAGTGGTACTGTCGCTTTTGACATTTTGTAACTACCAACAAACATAAATACACTATTATGAGTTTTTTGTTTTGTTTTCGGTATCGAAAATGAGAACAGAATCTGAAGAAATTTTCATAGACGAGGTTGATTCTCTTTTTTTGTGTGTGTGTATGCCTCATGGTGCTCACACGCGCTTTCATCACGCGCGTGGTTTCACT